TGTATTAAAAAGCCATTCCTTGAGCCATGGACAGGGCTGGCATCTTGGGAAATCACTGCTGTAATTGACAGGTTTGGACGTACGTTTGCGACAGTTATCCAGGTTGCTGCTGGTGTTTCACATGCCCATCATTGCGGCATCTTTCATCACCGTGACTGGCCTTTGTAGAGCTCTCCTGCCAATCTGCCAGAAATGCAACCTGGACAGCAATTAAGGAGACTTGATGAAAGGCATCTGCCCTCTGATTCATTGTTTCACTTCTTGGCATCCTTTTGGGGAATGAACTGAAATGTAGATGTTAAATAATTCTCACTGTGAGGGATTTATTGCAATCGTAACTCTGTAAGTAACTTCCAAAAACTATAGCTCCAAATAACGTGTGTATATTGGTCAAATATATCCAAGAGGTGAAGTTTTAATAGCTGCATTTGTCTTCCTCCATTGCATTTCTACTAGATTTACAAAATGTAATCACGTTTCACCGTCTCCCTACCAATATGGGCTTATAATGATCTGCACAGAAATCTTGTAATTTCTGCCTTAACTGTTAAAGGTAAATGTAAAAGGAAGGTGAAGAGTGAATTGTTTTCTTTCCCCCTCATAATCCATCCACAAGGATTTCCCCTCCAGCTTCAGGGCCCCAATACATATTCCCAGTGTTTGATACAACTCAAAAATGTAACTGTAATTGTTAGGCAACCACCACCAGCACCTAGCGAGAGTCTGAACAGAACCCCAAACATATTAGCAACCAAACCAGATACATACATCTAACTGCATCTAGGTCTTTTGAGCCTCTGTAGTAAGCAAAATATGCTTATTCTGGCACTTTCCCCAAAGCAACCTACCAGGTTTCAGATATTAGAGCCATCAGTCAATGCAGGTTGAGCATATTTGGAGCAGAGGCACCCTGCACTGCTGTCACAGCTGTAAGATTACATTAAAAAGCACAGTTATCTTTTGTAGCCTGGAGCACAGTTATTTCTTCAAACACAAAGAAACCATATTCCTTTTACACCGAGAGAGCAATGCCAGGGACTCACTAAGTATGCTCTGTGCAAAATTGTTTTAAAAAATTAGGATCTATGGCACTGACATAATTACCTGAACTCTCACTTATTACCTGGAAGAAGAGAAATCTGGCAGGGACTTTGGCAGATCTGGCACAGATTTTCTGCCTGGGAAGGAATTCCCCATAGCCAGGAGGGCGGCTTTCAGTTTCTCTTCCACTTGGCCTCCCTCTTGTTTTAATATCAGCTTGCTGAGGGTTGACAAGGGAGGCATCAATGTGTGGAGCGGAGGGGGATGGCAGCTCAGCGTTTCATGAAGGGAGCAGTGCTCTGGCTGATGGGCAGGAGGGAGAATGTGGGTCTGCAGAGGAGCTCTCTGAAGGGGACCCACTCAGGAGTCCCTCCAAACAGAGGCCCCTGTCAGTACCATTTTTCAAAGTGGATGAAGAAGACTTGCAGGGTTCTGGAGTTTACTGCTGTTGTTTTTCCTCACTGCTTGTCTTCACTTTGGCAGCTGGGAAAATACTGAGTCACATTGCTGCAGGTTTGCTGGAGTGTTTCTGGGAGGCCCTGGTGCTTTCTCACTTAGTAGCTAGCTGAGGGCAGGAAAAACAGCCTGGGAAAATGAAAAAAAACCCACAAACACCTCTCTCCCTTTTTCTGTTTTTCACATGGATCCATTCTCTGACCTGGTTCATGATCAATGTGCCAATCACCCCTGCTGCCAACCCCCACAGTGAGGGACATTGGGGAGCAGAACCAGCCATCATGGATGGGGCTGTAAGGAGGGATGGCAGCCCAAAAGGCAGCATCCCTCTCCTCAACTAAATAAATTGCTATAAAATATCAATTTCAGCTAAATTTTAGTAGCCACACCAGGCTGGCTGACACCCAGTTCAACTCAGCCAGATTTTACAATAACAGTGTTTGAATCATCATAAAACTATCTGCAAACAAATGCTTACAAAAAGCTCCCTGCCCTCCTGATTACTCCACACTCACATTGCCACTCACATGACAATGACATGTGTTGTCGTTGTCATGCTTTAGCTTAGACAGAGCATTGCCAACACTTGCTGTTTGAGGTTGCACTTTAAATCCACTGCAGTTTGAGGCAAGCATTGAAATAAGAACTACAGCACTCCTTATTAGGTTTCTTTTCCTCTCCTCTCCTCTCCTCTCCTCTCCTCTCCTCTCCTCTCCTCTCCTCTCCTCCCTCCCCTCCCCTCCCCTCCCCTCCCTCCCCTGCCCTCCCCTCCTCATTATTCTCCTGCCTTTTCTTGCCACTGCCTGGTTTTCTTTTGCCTTGCCTTCTACTTACCTTCTCCTTGCCTTCCCCTGCCCTGCCTTGCCTTGTCTTTCCTTACTTTGACATCTTTTCTTTTGCTTTGCCTTCTCTTTGCTTTGCCTTGCCTTCTCCTTTCTTTTGCTTTGCTGTGCCTTGCTTTTTTCTTCCCTTGCTTGCACCTTACTTTTTTCTTTTTCTTTTGTCGGTGAAGAAAAGCTGAAAAATCCTTTGTGGACTCACTCTGAAGACAAAGCCAAACTCAAGACTGACTTAACTCAATTGCCACTGCTGGAAAACAGCAGCTGGTGAGTCTGTTTCACCAGTGGGTTGGGTGTCCTTGCCCAAGATGACAGCATCCATTGGTGGATGCTGGGGACAAGAATGGCAGTGAGCTGCAGTGATGTGTCCCAGCTGCAGCCAGATGCCCCATGCCAAGCTTGGAGTTAATGGACCCCAATTTCTTCCTGCAGGGTCCTGGCAAGTCTGGTGCAGAACCTGGCATTGTCCCATCCTGGCCAGTGAGCCGTTCGGCCTTAGTCACCTCACCCAAATCCCATGGGATGCATTGAGATGCCCTTGTGCCAAATGGCCTGTGAGAGTCAAGCAATGGGTTGAGGACGTTTGCATTTGAGCAAGCTCACTTGCAGCTGGAGATGTCATCATAGCAAGTCGTTGTGGTCACTCACTCTGCTGGTTGTGGTAATAAGAAGAGACAATTTAGAGTCGTATAGCTCCAACTGGGAGTGTTTCCCAGCTGCGTGTGCTTCTCAGCCGTACCACAGCTTTTCTCTGTGTCATGCAGAGCTTGAAGTGCCTCAACTGGTGTGACATGAAGAGCTCCTGTCTGGAGCTCTGCAGCCTCCTCACTGCTCCATGTCTCTCTGCCATGCTGCTAGGTTTTCTTAAGCTCCTGGTCAGTGGTTTTCCCTTGTCAACCTGTGTTGATTTTGTCTTACTGTTGTGGCCCTTCACCTGCAAGCCCTGTTGTGACAGCCTCCCATGAGAAGTGATGGACACCAGTGTGAGAACCACCTTCCTTTCCCATCTCTTTTCCTATTTCTGTGCTACTGCTCTCAGCTTGCATTAGAGAACCTGACAAAATCATAGAATCATATAACCATTTATAGAATCACAGAATCATTTAAATTGGAAAAGATCTCTATAGTCATCTAGTCCAACCAGCAGTGAGTTTGAGTGGGCCAAAAAAAACCCACAAACCCCCATATACTTACCATGGGAAATTTGTCTGCAAAGAGGTGACAGATGTCATCAGAGAGGATGCTTAGGGAAGGACACTCCTCTGGAGTGTCCTTCTCCTCCCAGCTGGTCATGGGGATGAGCTTTCCTTTCCCTTCTGTTTCTCTCCTTTTATTTTTTTATCTTTCCCAAAAAGTAGCTATTACCTGTGAAGTCAACGCATGTCACCAGCTACAGATCTTGTGAAGAAATCTTCATGCAAGTCTAGCTGTCTCAACATCCTCTACACAACAACCTGGGTGAGGCTGTGAGCAGCTGAATACAAGTCAGCAGGTGAGCACCAATGGTAAATGGTGCCCAGCCTGCTGACGGACTTGGTGCCTGCCAGCTCCTGGCACTCCTGCATAGGGATGACACAGGAGTCAAGCTCCAGAAGTGAGGCAGAGTTGGGCAACCAGGAGAGAAGGTTCATGTGGTACCTGGTGACCTGCAGGAAGAAGTGCATCCATGCACTGTCCTGCTGGAGCACCCTCAAAGGACAGAATCAAGGTCCATCAGAATGGCAGAGAGCTGTGAGTAAAGAAACTGACCATGTAGTTGATTCTTTCTTCATCATACATTATCTTCAAACACCTTATGCAGCAATAAAGATGAAAACAAATTTCTATTCTTAACCAAAACAACTCACAAGGCTTCTCCTATTTTGATTAACAGCTCTGGTCCACCTGGGGAACACATGAATATACAAAATGAAGCTAGAATACGTTTTTCTCCCTCTCTTTTTCCGTGGCACCATTTCAGTGGTTTTTTGCCAGGAAAAGTGATGCCTAGTGGGTTCCCGGTGCATGTACACCACAACAGATATCATTAGAAAGCCATTCAAAAGGGGGGATGCGGGCCTGCTTTAAAAAGTGACAAAGCAAAAATGTCCCTCCCTCACTTGACACATCTGACTAAGTAGAGCAGACCTCTACATGCACCTGGAAAACAGCTATTTACTTTCATGACTGAAACGAACCCTCTCCCTGCAAGCATGCACCCTTATGTTGAGCCTTATGCATCTGGTTTATTGAGTCAAAATAGCTGTACACATTGTTATTTTCAGCATTTGAGAAGCTATTGCCATGGGGACTGAGGATCCAAATAGATCCTGAGATCAGATCACAGGAGGTTTTAAAATAAAATTGTCATTTCTGCCAATAATCACGTGAAACCGGCTTCAACATGTAAGCACAGAGACTTGCCACTTTGGTGACTTTTTAAAAATTGTAGTTACCAAACCAAGAAGGATATTAGATGTTGTTCATAACAGCCTGGTACCAAACGTGTTTTCAGGATTTAAATACCCAAAACACCTCCTTAAAGGAGCAGGAGATGGTGGCAGTAGTCAGCTGTAGTGGGTCTGTGTTGGCACCAGAATCAAAACTACAGCTGAATTTTCTTCCATCAAGGCACACAAAAGGAAGTCTCTCTTGTTCCAGATTCACATAGAACTTGCATCTGACTTTCTTATCCCTGCAGGAAGACGAGCTATTATACAGAGAGAGAGAATACATATAAATATATATAAAATATAAACTTATACCAGAGTAGAAACTAGAACTTGTTTTGCAGAACAGAAGTTATTAGAATCTGCTTCTGCTTCTGCGTAATCTCTGCAGTGAAGCGATCTCAAGCTGTGCTATCAGCTCTGGCAAATGAAGCGATGTCAGAGCAGGTTAATACTTGGATATGAGAACACGAAAAAAAATCCGCCTTTCTAAGGATGCTGTAATCAGAGCTGCATTAACCAGGGACAGAAACAGCCTGCTTGGGGTGGGTGCAGGGAGGCACTGGTTGCACAACATGCATGCAACATGCAAATGCATATTGTGTTGCTGGGATCAAGGGGTGGGGGGTAGGGGTGGTGGAACCAGAAGTTCCCCAGATCCTTCTCAGTAAACCGTTGCACTGTTTGTCATAAATATTTGCATTACATTGTCTTTGCTTATTAAAAAAAAAATAATCTTAGTCTGAGTTAGTGAAATTAGATCAAGTGAAGGCTTTGGTGTCACTGCAATTCCACCTTGAGATACTTCTGTTAAAAAAATGTCTTTTTCCTGCAGTGCAGATGTAAGTCTTCAGCTCTCAGCAGTTGTGTTTAGGACAAAAAGTGTATTCCTAACATGTACCAAAATCTGAAAAGGGTCATCATGCTCTGTGATAGTGTGGTTGACCCTGGCTGGACATCAAGTGCCCACCAAGTCACTCTATCACTCTCCCTTCTCAGCAAGATAGGGGGAGAAAAATAGGACAAAGGCTCATGGGTTGAGTTAAGGATAGGGAGAGATCAGTCACAGATTACTGTCATGTGCAAAATAGACTCAACTCAGGCAAATTAATTTATTGCAAGTAAAATGAGAGCAAAGTAATGAGAAATAAAACCAAATCCTAAAACCCCATGGGATCACAAGTGCACAGGTCCATAAGTCCTGCCAGGGGTGTCCTCTCCAGCATGGGCTTCCCATGGGGTCAGAGCCTCCTTCCTTCTCCTTAATGGGGTCCTCCATGGACTGCAGAGGCACAGCCTGCCTCACCATAGTCTGAACCACAGGCTTCAAGGGAATCTGTTCTGATGTCTGGAGCACCGCCTCATCCTTCCTTTTTCACTGACCTTGATGTCTGCAGAGTTGTTCCTTGTAGGAGTCGGGTTTCAGGAAGGGTGCCGAACGGCACCCTGGGAGATGTAGTTCCCAAGTACTCCCACACACATGGGCAGTGAGATACCCCATGGTGATTGGTCAAGGGAGTCATGTGTTACTTTGAACCCATGTATATAAGGTGTTGTTTGATTTGAATAAAGAGGATTTGCCTGAGTACCCCCAGTCATGTTAGCTGTAATTTATTCACGTATTATATTAATACGTCACAAATGGCGCCCAACGTGGGGCAGAACCCTGTATCAGGGATGATTAGAGACTGCCTTGTAACAGGAAAAATTCGGTAGCGTTCGGACAGGTTTGTTTTAAAAACTTGGTACGCTCTCCAAAAAAAAGTCAGACGTCATATACCGAGCTAAAAGCAGGCAGAAAACGTCTTTAAAGAAAGGACGTCGGGAACCAGTGCGAAAAGCCGACTGGGATGTCGTGCAGAGGACCGCGTGGAGCTCCAAGAATCTAAGTATTGTGCACATGAAAGACCTAGCAGAGTTGCTTTGAAAGAAAGAAAAGGCAAAGCTACAGAGAACTCAAGGTAAGAAGCCGGCATGGGAAGTTAAAATTCAAGGGAAATGATAGAAATAATTATTTCAGGACTTCTGTTAAGTAGAACCCTTAGTGAAACTGCTTGGAAAAAGAGACTGCTGAAGAGAAAGCAGAGATAGAAGATGTGGACACTTCAAAAATCTCGCAGGGAAACTTAAACTTGTCCATGGAGCAAAACTTTAAACCTTTTATTCCCCCCACGAGCCCTAACGAACAAAGGACTCCACCAAACATAGGAGCAGACGCGGGGGTGGGGTAGAACCACGTGCAGACAGAGGACTGTGTGAAAACCTAAAGGATCCGAAAACAAAGGACTTGGGCTGAGTTTTTACGCAGGCAGGAGCGAGCAAGTGGCATGGACTGCGTGATTGTTAGGAAAAGACAGACCTTGAGTCCACGAGGCACTGCCACGCTGCAGTCACATGGCGGCCACGCCGCGGCTTGAGAACCATCATCTTGCCCACAGCTAACTTGCCGAGTGTCCCAGCTTGAGGAAGCATGCTTAAAACGTGATCCGGTAAGCAGTGAAACAACAGAGGACACCGAGAAGGAATCGGGTTTGCCTTCTCCGAAAAAAGACAGGCATTTATGCAGCGCAGGGACGAAGACCTACCCGCTGCCTTCGCGCTGTTAAAAAAGCCTGTCGCACTTGACACGCGGAAGCGGTGCCAAGATCCCTTAAATAGGCACCAGCCACAACGCCTGCAAGCGAGCGGCGGCGCGGGGTTTGAACAGGCTCTGTTCGCGGGCTCGCGGAGCGCGGGAGGCGCGGCCACAGGCCTTGCAAAAGCTCCCGGCGCGAGCCGGCAGTGGCGGCGATGCCGAGGCGGCGCGCGGCGGCGCGCGGCTCTGGGTCCCGAGCAGCTGGGGCGACGGCAGCGGCAGTTTCCCCAGCGCCTGAAACGGACGCGAAGACTGCCGAGACCGTGCCCGCAGCCATGTCGAGTCTCTGCCGTGCGGAGGCGCAGGACCCACGGGCGAACACCTCCCGCTCAGCCCTAGCCCGGCGCAAAATCCCCGAGGCCGCGGAACAGCGGCTCCGGCCGCGCGGGAGCGGGGTGGGCTAGAGCCGCTCCGAAATACAGACGGCGAGCCGTGCCAGGACGGGATGCAGTGCGAGCTGCCGGCACGGCAAGCTCGGCACCAGCAAGCCGCTTATACGGGCTCAAAGGCGGCACAGAGGAAAAAAGCGGCAACAAGCCACAAGTGGGAGTCGGTGCTGCTGCAGCTTTGCAGGGGGCGGTGGTTCCCCGGCCCGCGCGGAGCCCCGACGCGGGGTGGGACAGGCGGCGAGCGTCTTGCCTCGCTACAAACCCCCCCCACAGCGGCGCGGCAGGGAGCAGTTCCGCCGGAGCCGGGACGGGAGAGGGGCCGCCGAAACCAGGACAAAAAAACTACCTCCCCTTCCACAGTGAAATGCAGGGAGCGGGGCCGGGGCCAGGACAATGTAAGCTGCTGGCAAACGGCAGAGCCCTGCACGGTCTGCCGTGAGCAGAGAGGGAAACAGCAGCCCCTACCCGGCGCCGACAAGAGACCACCTGTGGGGGGGCAATTCTGCCGTCTACGGTGGAAAACAAGCAGCAAAAACCGGGGCCGAGAGGAAAGCTCACGCCCTTTGTGCAGAGACAGAGCGAAGCTGAGCTGCAAATAGCTCAAGTGAGCCTCTGCACAACTCAATGCTACAGCACTTTGCGGTGAGCCTCCAAAAACATACAGGGCTAAGTTAACATGTTGTCTTGAGAAACCTTTGGTGGAAACACTGCAGCTTAAAGGTTTTGTTTCTATTTTTCATCAGTTCCCCAGGACTTTGCTTAAATTACTAAGACTCTTACCGTTGTTAAAGTTATTAAGCCCTCAAAGACACCCGAATAGATGCAGTTGTTGTGACAATTTAGTTCAACTAACATGTTAAAAAAGTTCTTGAGCATCTCCATAACCTGTTAATTAATGCAGTCAAATGTTGATTATCCCAAAAAGGTGTGCCTAGTGTCAGCAAAATGCAAGGGTAGCTACCTATGAGTCATAACTATGTAAGAGGCTGAGTTAAAACTAATTATGATAGCTCTAACCAATATAATTGAAGAAATTGTTAAAGTTGTCAAATTCTTAAATACATTTAAATCTGTTAATAGAAGCTCTGCAAATAGAAAGCCCTTTGCAGAACTATCAGTCTCTTGAAGCTGAAGAAAGTGAATTTTCTTAGTTTTTTGTCCCTGTCTCGAGGAGAGGGGGAAGAGTGAAGCTTTTCAAAAACCGAGATGTTAGTGCTTATATTATAGCAATCATTTGTTTCTTTGCAACTAGGTGGAGAGAGATTTTGTTGTCCCAACCCCTGTCCTATAGGAGGGAAAACAAAGCATAACAAACTGAAATCTCCCCCATCACCCGGTTTAACTCTTATTAACTGTTTAACTTGTATCACTATGGGGAAGGAAGATTTTCTTTGTTGTCTAAAACCCTTAAAATTGCCTTTTGAGTTTGTCTCCACAAAACCAGGACACTAGACCCCTGCCTAAGCAAACAAGACGAACTGCTTTCAGTGAGAATGAAGAAAACTTTTCTGATTCTTGTGATATCCACGAATGATGGAAACCACTGAATGCTTGCTTTTGTGTTTGCAAGTGCAAAATCTTCTAGTGCCAAAGTGCATTAAAACATGCAACACGTGAAGTTACACATAACCTTCAACCTTGAGGTAAAGAGACAATAAAAGCATAAAATGACTTTTTGCTTTTACTTCAAACTCCAGCAAAAGGCAACTTTGAAGTAAAAAGACATTGAAAGCCATCAAATGACTTGTACTGCTTTACTTCAAAGGGCCATTCCTAGATAAAGCTACAGAGAAACTGCGTGTTTGCCTAACCTCTACATCTGTTTCTTCCACACTAGCCACCTGAGACTGTTTAAATTTAAATGTTAAACTTAACATGTTTGTTAAGTTTGTTACTAAAGGCAAAAAGCAGCTAACAGAAATGGATGGACAAAAGCTGAAAATTAACTGCATTTTAGAAACCACAGACAAACTGGTTACTTGCAAAGGATGCTAAATTTCAAGCTGTGTTAACATATTGTAATGATAACTTGTTTTATATACTGTGTTATTGTGATGATAACTTGGTCTAGTTGTTTACAGGAGGTGCTAAGTTTTAAGTCAAGTTAACATATTGTGATGGTAACTTGTGTATATATCTTTGAGTTTATTAACTTATGGTTTTCTGAAACAAAAACAAAAGGGGGGAAAAAAGAGAAAATGCATGTGCATAAACAGGTAAGACATTTGGGTTTGTTAAGCCTTATATTCTTCATATTAATTCCTTTTCAAATTTTCAAAACAAGTACAGTTGCCAAACGTGATTATCAGAAGTGGCAGATTGCGAAACACACAACCAATAACCACTGCAAAAACCCAAACTACATGATTTAAATAGAGACATAATAAAAATTCTAAGTATGCATATGTGTAGAGACAGTGTGAAGTGGCCACTTCTGTATGAATGAAAAAACTGTATGAATGAGAGAAACTGTGTGAACATGTATGTATGTAGACTTAGAGATACTTTGTGCTTCATGTGCTTTGAACAAATTACATTTGCATCACAACACTTGTTCTCTAAGGGCCCTTTTCTTGAAATTGAGTTGAATTTCTCCTGGTTACCAATTACATGCAGGCCCTTGGGGAAGTGGGAATCGATGTTCTGCCCGATTATGCAAAAACCTTCAGGTTAATAAAGTTGTTGTTTATCCCAAATACACACAAACCCTTAGGAAATAAAAGTTCAAATTTGTGTCAAGCAAGTTTTGAGGATTACAGATAAAGGTTCAAATAAGTGAGTTTGTTGAGAGACCAAGTAGGCAGTGAGCTGAATCACTGTAACGCAGTGGTCATTGTTAAAGGGGGTTTACAAAGTTTAAAATGTACTGTTATATGCAATGTTCTGTATTTCCTCAAAGAAGAGGAGAGATGTAGGAGTTGGGTTTCAGGAAGGATGCGGAACAGCACACAGGGGCAGTGAGATACCCCATGGTGATTGGTCAAGGGAGTCGTGTTACTTTGAACCCAAGTATATGAGGTGTTATTTGATTTGAATAAAAGGATTTGGCTCAGTACCCCCAACCAAGCTAGCTGGGTCCATGTAATTTATTCACATATTTTATTAATATGTCACAGTTCCTCTCACATATTCTCACTCTGCTCTCCAGCTGCAGTTTCCCAGGAGTTTTTCCCCCTTCTTAAGTCTGTTGACAGGTCATGGGCAATGTGTCCTGCCAGCTGACAGGAGTGGGCTGTGACAGCAGAGCTGCCTGTCCCCTGCTGAACCTCACCAACACCAGGCCTGGACAGCATACCCAGATCTGCTTTGTCCATCTCGTGCACACAGCGTGGTCACACACAAATGTGCAATACCATCACCCTGCTGCAAGTGATGCTGATGAGGATCAGAACAGAGGATTGCTCCAAGCTCACCCAGAGTCTTCAAGGTGAGGCCAGATGGTTTGTGACAGGTGGTTTCTCCTCATGCTAGAGTTTACAGGCTGAAATACACACTGTGGCTGCTGACAGTGATCCCAGTGGCCATTTCCTCATAGATGGAGAGCAGTAACCTTCAGCTAGGCCCACAACTCTTGCAGGATGGAGTACATGGGCATTGGGTAGCTGACATGAATCCCAGGGATCCAAATACAGGCTTTCCCTCAACCACTGTGACATTCTCTACCTTGCTGCAGTCTTCACAGCTTGCCTGAGGACTTCGAGGAGCCCTTTTGCCTAGAGGATGCAGCGAGACAAGGAATAGGAAGACATATGGGAAAAGACAGGGATTTGCACACTGGTGGCCATCACTTCTCATGGGAGACCATTGTCATAGGGCTTGCAGGAGCAGGGCCATGACAATAAGACAAAACTCCTAATTATGCTAATTGAATTATGCACTTTGAAATATAAATTAAGAGAGCCATCTTGCAGACAGTCACTCCCAGGTCTTCAGGGATCTTTTCTAAAATGCATTCCTTTGATGTCTCCTTGAGGCACAGCACTGCCTGTGCCAGGGATTTCCTGGCCCTTTTTGGCTCTGGGACTGGTCTTCAACCAGGGCACCTCCAGGCTGCCTGTGCTAAAGGCTCTGGGCCATAGAGAAGACTGCCCAGAGCCATTCCTACCAGAAAAAAAACAGCGAGCCCATCAGGTTTTGCTGTTTGTGGCACAGCCCAGCCCAACCCAGTCTCCTGAGCACCTGCATCCCAAGGCCAAAGGCTAGAAGGTTGATGAATCCATGGCTCTGCAAACTATCTCAGGAGCTCTGTTTGGATTCTCTGGGCAGGAAGACATTCTTACTTCTGATCATCACCTATTTTAAATTTGGGAAAGCTGGTGTAAGTCTCCATGACTCTCTGGTTCTGTGGCTGTGTAGAGCTCAGACATCAGGAGAAAGGGATGTCTTCAGCTCCAGGTGGGTGCCTGGGCCCTGGGCACATGCCCCTCCTCCTGGGGCTTGGGCTGCCTGGGCCCAAGGCCAGCTT